CATCCACCAACAAAAAATCTAAAGGCAGATTCCTGTGCAAGCACAAGACATTGTCCCTTGCCAGATTACACCATTCTCGCAAACATACTGCATTGCTGGAAATGGTAAACAATGCTTTAAAACTAAAACAGGAGTGTGCTTATGCTAATGGAATTTTGTTGTGGCAGAAGGGCTTGACTATGCAAACTAGGCGCTACTGTTACTGGTGGGAGATTATCCCATCAGGAATGGCTGTGGAAGCAAGCCATCCCATATCTATACCTTGCCTAGGCCTGTGGTCAGATCTGAGTACAATTAAAGCAAGCATATGACACGGCCCACTAGTATCCTAATGGCTTGGACTCAAATCTGAACACAGGCCAGTGGAAGGCATAGATATGTGACAGGGCTTCCACAGCCCTACCATGATTGAGCGTTTTCCTGCTTTTCCTCAGCTGTAAGGCAAATGCCAAGATATAATTCAAAAAGGGCAAGGCCTGCCCTCCCTCCAATCATGGTGGCCTTCAGATGAAGCAAAGGACAAGTTGCCTAATGGGATAATCTCCCACCAGTAGCAATAACCCCTAGTTTGAACAATCAAGGCCTTCCACCAACACAAAATTCCTGTTAGCATAAGCACAATCCTATTTTAGTTTTAAGGCACTGTTCATCATTTTCAGCAATGCATCTTGTATACAGCAATGATGTCTTGTGAGTGCGCAGGACTACGCCCTTAGTTAGCTTTTTGGTTGGTTCACAGCTACATCAGATGCCTTGATGATGGTGGCAGGTGGTCCCTGATATGTCAGCAAATTTTTGCCATTTGACATGGCTAATATCCCGAAGGGATTTCATTAATTCGGTTCACAATGAAAGTTTAGATCATACAAAGCGCATCATGTATACAGGCTCAAAAATATATTTCTTTTTAGTATAATGAATGAGAAATACATTCCATGCAGCGAGAATTCATTTTAAGTCTCCATACAGCAAGATTTCCTCAGTTAACGAGTCTGAATACCATTATTCCGCATGATACCTAAGTGAATAAACGAGCATTTTATATGACAGTGCTAAATATTATGTCTCAACACCTTCCCAAATTATTCAATCTTGACAACATTTTTACCTTCAGATAATATTTATCTAAAAATTAATATAAATCCTGTTATTCAGCTACTATAAAAGTACTATTTCTTGGTGCAGAAAACATAATGAACCTATTCGACATGCTTCCCTTATATTCTCGAGGATAGTTACATATATATATATATATATATATTTTGTTTTTTATTTCCATGCATGCTTCAAAACGGTTTTTAAAAAAAGAGATATTCTACAAGAAGCAATGAAACCAAATGAAGGTTATGATGGCATAAAAAGGCAGGGGGAATGTAAGAAATCAGAGGAGTGAAGGTTAGCTCTGTGCTCCATGCTTTTTCCATCTTCTTAGGCTGTTGAAAAAAAAGAGAGCAGAAAGGAATCCTTACCCTCCACACAATATTTGCATAATACAGAGTAAGTAACTTATGTTTTATACTATAATAGTACTGGCAAGAAAGCAAGTCCATATGGGAGAAAGAGAGTTCTATCATTACACATATTGCTGAAGACTGGTGATACACCAAGTTAGCCTCAGTTCAATGGGGGAATTTGCCAAAAATTTTCAGTACACTACAATTTTGGTTAAAATCAGGCAACAAAAAGGATACTTTAAATAAAGGCCTACATGTATTTCTGCACTGGAGGTGATTCTTGGGGATCTCCAGCCAGATGTTTTACTCGTGCAATCCAGTAGGGGAATTGGGCATGATTATATCATCACCCAGCCAGGCAGGCACAACACACCTCACATAAATGGTCATTGTATCCAGATAACTGACATTACAAAGGTCATCTTGAAAAACAAGCAGCCTTAAGTATCTAATTGTGCTACTTATACAAGCAATCACAAATTTAAAATCTAGAGACAATAACAAAGAAGATACACCATAAATGCTATACAAATATTTCCTAAATTGTTCTCACATCTATCAATAAATTTCCTTCAAACAGTGTTGAACATGTATGTTTCAGTAATTTTGTGAATTAGTGAGCTGTATACTCCACAGACAAAGGAGTCAGAAGTGTACTGGAAACTGTAATTAATATGGTGTTACTTGATAACTGTTTGTTATAAAACGACAATTCTATTTCAGACTTCACAAATGTGTATCATATTCAAAGTGCACACACACACAAGAAACTCTATGAGTATTTCTAAATGATTAAAAAAGGAAAGGATAGAATAGGTTTGATTAGTTTGTGTTAGTTGTGAAATTATGGGAACTTATACAATTTTACATGTTAATGTAAACATCATATGCATGATAACTCTCTTTCTACCATCATGTGCTAGAACAGTGAAGACATTTTTATCATTTCAGGTGACACTCATTGTATATGCTCGTTATGTGTGTTTTCATATGTCCGAAGCCATGGTAAAAGTTGCTGTGCAGCCTCACTGAGTTGCATGCGCAGTTTCACTGACTCACTTTACTATTTTGACTCTGGAACTACAAATTAAGATCTCTCATAGT